ACAATTAATCTTGACGGGCCCTTCGGCCAAGAACACGAAGGCCAACCAGCAACGGCCAAAAGGAGTGCGCGAGCACCCTCATCGGCCACCCAAAGGAAAGGACGCCATCATCCTCAAAGCAAGGAACAACCTCACCGGCCCAAACGTAAACTTCAACCACCAACGGCCAGGAAAGGGAAAGCACGCCTTCAACGGCCACCGTTGAAAAAAGGACGCTCATCGTCCCAAAACAAATTAAGGAAACAACGGCCTCCCCGCCCACAGCGAGGAACAGGATCACCAAAGAGGACACAACGCCAACGCCGCAACGGCTAACGGCCTGGAAATGCCCGCGTCGGCCAAAAACAACAAAGCACAGAAATCTACTCTCCTTCACTTCGTCTACATCTCAGCTTAGAGAGTGGGGGACTCCTGATGGAGTATATGGGTCTGAGCCCCAGGACCCACATACTCGGAAGAACAGAGCACAAGACAACAGAGTGGCGCCCTCATCGGCCAAGACGCCCCCGTCGGCCGAGAAGAAGCCAACCCGGATTATGATCCTGAGTCCAAGGAACCCGGGTGCCCCCGTCGGCCGTGCCCTCGTCGGCCGTGCCCTCGTCGGCCACGCCCTCGTCAGCCACGAGGACCTCCCAGAATCGGATCCTATACTTACTCATTTGTACAGCCCATTAGTGGCTTTGTATTCGGCCCAGTAGCGGTCCAGTTGTAAATGGGCCTCCCGAGCCCAAGGCTTGGGAGCCCAACTCTAATTTTCTCTATAAATACTCCCCTTGGGAGTAGTTATAGGGGTTACAAAATCATTCTATTGAAGCATATTATTGCACTTCTCTCTCTAGCTCTCACTTCTCTCTAGAATCTAGGAGTTAATACTCTATCAGTCTTTAAGGCAAATTTTACAAAAGTTAAAGACCTCGAAACCGAAATATGGTACGCCACTTGCAAGCATTGCAACAAAAAGTATAACTTGGGAATTTCTGGAGGGTATGAGAGCACCACAAGGCATCTTAAGGCCGAGCACCCGGCGGAATATGCGAAATCGGACAAAGGCAAGGGAAAGCAAACACAAATTTCAAGGTTTGCAACTGGCCAACCCTTTGGTAATTTCTCCTATGATGATCAAAGACATTTGACTGGTATGTCTCATTTAATTGTTGAAGAAAATTTGTCTTTTATTTTTTCTGAAAGTCTTGATTTAAAAGAATATGCTCAAGGTTCTTTAAATCCCCAATTTCGAAACTATAGTCGCAAAACAATTAAAAAGAAGTTATAAGTCAATATGTTTTGGAAAAGCAAAAATTTCAAACGTTTTTCGCAAACTTCGATGGACGTGTTAGTATATGTAGTGATATATGGGAGGATACTCATCATCATTTATATTATTTGGGTTTGACTGCACATTATATTGATGATGATTGGTGTATGCATAAACGTGTTCTTGCTTTTCGTGAATTTAATGATCGACACACCGGTGATAATATTTATATTCTCATTGAGCGTATTTTAGTTGAGTATAATTTGATTAATAAGGTGTTTGCTATTGGTTTTGATAATGCTACTAATAATATTGCTGCTATTCCTAGATTGCGTGAATTGTGTGGTTCATCTTCTTTGATGGGTAGGTTTTTTCATCACCGTTGTGCATGTCATATTTTAAATTTATGTGTAAAGGACGGGCTAGCGGCGTTGGGAGATGCTATGGAGGTGGTGAAGGGGGGATTAAACTTATTTGGGCTAGTAATCAACTTAAGATGCAATGGAGAAATTATTTGAAAGAAAGACGTGTCAAATATTGTGCTTTTCCTAATGATTTGTCTATTCGTTGGAATAATACTTATAACTTAATTAAGGTGCTTATTAGATTTAAAAACCATTTTTCTGCTTTTTTAAAAGAATATGCTAACTATATTATAAACCCGGCCGACATCGACACTTGTGAAAAACTTGTGAATGTTTTGTGTGTATTTTAATAAGAGATAATTATCCTAGATATGACTAAAACTCAATGAGTTTCCCAATCTATGACCTAACCAGTTTTTTTACCAAAATAATATTAAAATTTATAATATTTAATTAAAATTCGTAATAAATAAATAAATAAATTTGGTGGACAAATATACCCTTTAAGTTATCTCTATAAAACCCTAAGCTCCTATTATTTTCTCCAACCCTAGCCTCCACTCTCCCGGCCTCTAGAGATCCACCTGCCTCCTGCTGCACTCCCCTGCCACCGTCACACGGCCCACCATCCACCGGTGTCGTCTCACGGCCCGCTGCCCGCTGCCGTCCAAGAGCACGATCATCCAGTTGCTTGCTTGCTCGGCCACCAGTTCATCCAATCGTTAGCTTGCTTGGCCACCCAGCCCCATGTCTACTCGCCGCAGCCGCAACCCAGACTGCCGCCAGCGCCCCGTCGGTGCCGCCGTCCCGAGCTATGCGCGGACCTGCCCAGTCGCGCCCAGTTACGTCCATCCGTCCCTGCACTTACCTAGAGCCTTCGGATTTCAAAATCAGATCCCCTATTTGGAGCTTTTAAAGCCGATCAAAGTTGTAGGGAGATAGGTTGAAGGTAGGGGACACACAGTTTAATGAAGAACGAATTGGATCCACATGCTCTAGTTTTTTTCTTCCTGTGAATAACCCAACAATTTCATAAGCTTTTTTTCAACTAGTGGGGGCTTAGCCTAGCACTCCAACATTATGACCTATATTTTCTCTCCTTGAAGCGCCGCTATAGGTGTAACCGGGGCAGTAGCAGAATCGTCCAATATAATATTAAGGTTCTTTAAAATTAGGGTTTGTGGGCATTAAACACGGGCAGTGAAAATGGGCAGTGAATAAATGCATTGACGGAGTATGTTGTGCATTAAATCGAAGGTCATAGAACGTGTTATAACGTTGACAGAAAGTGCAGTGATTATGACCAGTAGTGCAGTAATGTAGAGCAGTAACACCACCATGAAATTAAATATATTTAATTAGATGTAAAATGTAAAAATTATTAAATCCAAAAAAAAAATCTATAAATAAATTTATAAATTGGATGAGAAGATAACTAATAATGGCGGAAGTGCAGTGATATGTTACCGGATGTGCAGTAATGTCGTGCAGTAATGTTGTGCATTAATTGCAGTATAAAGTGCATTATTTTTAATTGGACGAAAATAGTGTAAAATGCACATTTTTTGAATATGGGTATTTTGGTCATTTAATATTTTATTATGAACGAATTTTTCTTTATATTTTTAGTTTTCAGTCATACAAATGTCTAAAAACATAACTAGTCATATACAGGGAAACTCAATATGTTTTGGTCATATCCCGGTAAATTTCCCTTTTAATAATGCAACTCAAACTTTTAGTCATGTTTATAAACCTACCGCAAACCAATTTTTTGTTGAAGGTGTTAATCTCGCCGGCGCTTTTTGTGAATTTGCTGATGCCACTTACGTTAGTTATTTTTGTGACTTCATGAAACAAAAGTTTTTAAAATATTATTCCTATATTCCGCATATATATAGTATTGCATTTATTCTTGATCCTCGTTTTAGACTTGCTTCTTTGGAGCAATGTTTAGATTACTATTATGCTTCTTTTTTTGGTCCATTGTCTATGTACGACGAGAAGGTCATAGACCCGAAACAACAATTCCAAGAGGTTAGTAATTTATTATATCAATTATTTAATGAGTTTCATGCACAATATGGTAACGCACCCCCTCCCCCGCCACGAACATCTTCTTCATCTAAAGGAAAATCAATATTGAAATCAGCATTTGGCAATCTTATGAAAAAAAGTAAATCAACTCCAGTTAATGAACAAAGCTCGATCAACGAGCTTTCTTTGTATCTAACATTTTCTGTTGAGTATGAAGAAGGGGGTGACTTTGACGTTCTTCAGTGGTGGAAGGAAAAAGAGAGAACGTTCCCGGTCTTATCAAAGATGGCTAAGCAATTGCTAGCAATGCCGGTATCAACAGTTGCTATGGAACAAGAGTTTAGTGTGGCCGGCAACGTCCTAATGGATTATAGAACGAGATTGAGCGCAAACTCTCTTGAGACGTTTGTTTGCTTCCACGATTGGTTGAAGGTCAAACGTAGAACTCAAGAAATTAGCATTGAACCCACCCGCCACTTTATGGAAGAAACAACCGAAGATGGCGGAAATTCCGATTGATTCTTATTTATTAAAAAGTGTATTTCATGTTTTAGTTTTTGTTCAATTTCCAATTGTACTACATATTTCAAATAAATATATTTTAAATTTTTTATGTCCAGCTAATCTTAATTTAATATTTAAACAAAAAAAAATAAATAGTCTGGGCCTGGCCTGAACCGGCCCACTACCCGGCCGAGTAGGCCCGACCCGGACCGGACCCGGTATCATCTCGGGCCGGTTTCGGGCCCATGTTTCTACAAAAAAAAGCCTACTCGGGCCAAGCCCGAAACTGGACCGGCTCAGGTCAATCCCTACTTGAACCACTCTCACTTTTCCAGAAGGCGGTTTATCGATCGGACCAAATGTATCTACGGTATCAATCCTTGGACTTCTATTAAATCTCTTAGCAACAAGAATTGCACTATATCGAGCTATGTATGCCGGTTCGCCCGATACACCAATTTACACCTAATAATATTTTGTGTTGGGGGAGAATAAGAGACCAAGTGTGGTTCTTGCAAAGAGCACGATATTTGTTTGTCATGGGGAGTGTAATTTTGTACACCCCTTCAAGGAGGGTGAAGATCACCTCATTCCCTTTTAATTGTTATAACTATTTATTATTATCCAATTTTTATAAGAAAATATCAAATTTAATAATTTTTAAGATCTTTCCAATGGTATCAGTATTGTATATAACAAAATTGACAAAAATCATTTTTTCTAAATATTCATTTTTAGCTAGATTTTTTTTAAAATATTTCATATGCAATAGTGATACCATATGACAGATCGTAAAAATGAAAAAATTGGATTAATATCAAAAAAGTTAGAACAATTGCTAATAATAAAGATTTGCCTTAATAAGATTTTCCTTCAAAAAAATGCAATTTTATCATTATATCCAAAAATTACAATCCAGGGGAAGCACTACAAGATGATCCAAGGATTCTAAGGGGACCCTATCGGTATATTTTCACTTAAAGACTACTCTTTAAGTATGATCAAGATCCTTTTCTACTCCTGCTCACTTAAAGACTAATCTTTAAGTATGATCAAGATCCTTTTCTGCTCCTGTTCCCGGAACTAGTTCGGGTGTTGCTTAAATCAGCAGGAGGAGGGTACAAGTCCTTGTGGCCTGACAAAGGGCTACCTCCCCTACGAGGTGAATCTGATGGCTCTTCCGCTCGTTTAGTCTCTGACTCCAGCACCTTGGCTTCATCATCTAACATCTTTAGCTGCCTCGAGAAGAAACAAAGTACCACATCAGCCATTTAATAGAAATGATCCCTAACACCACTACGTCGTGTAAAGAATCTATGTTTTACGTGTTTTGGTTGTGGAAGGGGATTAATTTTAGAAAAGGGTAGCATAAATAAATAATGAATGAATCAAAATCATACCTGAATTTCATTCTCTCTCAACCGATCCTGGAGTGCACTAATGGCGGGACTTAAGCTGTTTCAAACTAAAACCAGTCAACAAACACAACAGTGAGCGCCAAGAAGTCAAAACAGTAAAATGTCCTCACCAATATTCCATCAATTTGCACATGGAAGCCTGATATGTGGACGTGTGGTGGATATAAGTTAGAGGATGCACTTTCCCATCCCTGAAAATGATTACTTTGACAATGAGTCAATGAGAAGATTCAAAAGCAACATATAGCATTGACCAAAGCAGAGTGAGAGAGATTAGGAACACGTTAAATGTGGCACCTCAAGTTTTGTGCAACTGCTTGATTATATGCACTTCGTTCCTCTTCATATAGTACATGTTGCAGATTGGTGAATGAACTCAAAGGTGTGTCAATATTAAGAAGTGATGGTGATGGCAAAACAAGAAGAGGGATTTCCTTCCTGACAAACTCTGCACCACTGCCACGCACCCAAAAAGAAAATACATGTTAATATAAATGAATCCTACAGGATAGTTGGTTTCTAATGTGATAGGATCGAACAAAGTAAAATGCGGATGAATACAAGAGAGGCCTGGATGGATATAATACAATATACAAATACTTAATCCAAATTGCACATTGCCTTTTATAAAACCATATTTCTTGTGACAAAATGTTCATACTATTAAACAAGAAAAAACAAAGCTCCAAAGAATGAAGTGGTTTTGCTTTCATAAATTGCAGTATAAACAACATTCTTAGCTGCTACAGTGCCAAGATGAGAAGGAAACCCCTCCCCCAGGACTCAAACTCTAAAAGAACAATTATGAAATATGAATATATGATTCAAGGAATTAATTCCATGTTTGGTCCTACGAGTTTTACGTCAATTCCACATTTAGTCCACGTCTTTCACTTTGTCCACTTTTGATACCTGGCTAATGTTTTTTGACATTTTGTGGTCCTTATCCGGCGATTTTATTCACCGAAAACATTGCCTGTAGGACCATGTATGAGCGAAAACACAATAGTCATGTACCAAAAGTGGTCAAAGTCAATGACATGGACTAGTTGTGGAATTGGTGTGATACTAGTAGGACCAAAAGTGGAATTTATTCTGATTCAAGGCAGTAATAAACAACAAGATGGAAATACCAGGCTACCAGCAAATAAAGATAAGGCATGAAGCACTGAATTTATAATCTAAAGTTCTTTTTGGATGAAGTGTATAATTGGCATGAAGCACCTTTCAAGACCTAGACTAAGTCCTCCAAAGCCTCCCCTCTAAAACCCTCCAAAACCTTCAATCAAACTGACCTCATCTCCATATTTGACAGGTGCATTGCTTCTTGCATACTTTCCGACATATCCATGTGATCTATCTCAATAGTTGCATCAGTGGGAGTGCTAGTATGGAAGTTTTCTCCTGTCTTGGCATCAATATTGGCAAAGAAACCCCCCAAGTCTGAGGTTTTTAACAATGCCTATCAAATTAGATATGAGAAGAACACATTAATCAAATGACAGACATAGACCATCTCAAGATCACCAAACATATGTGTTTATCAAAATTAAGAAGGGGCAGAAAAGTGGAAACAATAACAGAAAGTCAGCAACAGAAAAAACTCTACCCTAAAATCTACAGAAACTATCAGAGTATCAGGAGGAAGTATTGTCCCATTTCTGTGTCATAAACTCTACATAACCTTCCAAGAATGTTTCAGTGCTGTTTCTACCATTTTGTATATGGAAAATAATCACAATCCATTTTATAGTAGGAAACATGTGGGGTAGACGCTAAACTACAAATAAAAATAAAAATTAACATCAATCAGCAACTAATTGTTATTCTGTAATTTGTTATTTATCGGTTGGACATCATATTGTTTATTCTAACGCTTATACGAACAATGCATATTATAAGTATTTTTTGCATATATACTCCTACAATAGTATACTTTTAAGCATTTACAGGTTAACCTAGAGTTCTGTTGCATATTTTTGGAAAAAATACTGATTCTCGGGTTTTGTGTCATGATTTATGATTCTATATGTCCATGCTGCAAACACCACCCAATGCTGCAATGTCAATGAAACCAGTTATCCTAAAAAGAGTCCAATTTAAAAATTTCTTAGTCCCAAAAAATGTCATGTTTAAACAAAGTTGGCTAATTTTCAAGTAATTTCCCAATACAGTCCCATAAAAATATAATATAACTATAAACAAACAAATAAACTCCCTCCATGGAGTATTGAACCCGGGACCTCCCATAAGGGAGAGTGAGTCGGCGACCAGCTAAGCTGGACCGCTTCCTCTCGATACTAATAAGAGTTATACCTCGTCAAAATTGAAAAGGTGTACACTTGTCAAACATCACTACTTTTAGTAGTATTTTCTAAGCCGGGCTCCCATAGTCTCTTGCTTGCCTATAGTTGTTTGAAGTAAAGAAAGTGGGTGGTCCAAAGACATTACTCGATTTATAAACAATGATTAAACTAACTCTCTAGCAAGTTGCAAATTGAAGCAAACTACAAAGACTAAGTTTTACTTTGCCTACTTCCAAAACACCCGCTAAATCTGAAGTAAATGACAAAAATTTATGAAAAAGAAACAGAGAAAAAATGCTCGCCCCTACAAAATACCAGCAAAGTTACCTTAGAAGGTAAAGTAATTGCCCTTGAATCACCTGTGTCTTGCTCAAGATTCTCTCCTCTAATGGAAGCTCTTGCTGATGTCTCTGAAGAACTTAGTGATGTTTCAAGATCAATTATGGAACTTTTATGTACAGGGGCAAGAGGAACTGGTTTTAAAACATGACTTTGTTTTCCATCCATGGACTGAAATGCAATAACCTGAATTCTTCCGACCTAAAAAGCAGTTAAAGAGAAAAATCATACTCACTCTGCAATTACATTCTTAACTTCTTTCTATATGCCATAGATGTACACAACAAACCTTCTGTGCATCTTCACTAAAACACGAAAATATTAATCCAATAAATCCAGAATCCAGAAGTTGGTACATTGCTTGAGTGCGGACATCTGCATTAATTTTGTCAGACACAAAATGGTAAAGAGATTAATATGTATGTTCACTACTTTTTTAGAGGAACAATAGAATGACAACATACTTTGAATGGCGATATCGACACTAAAAGTTTTTAACTAAAGAGAATACAATTTCCTTATTTCAAGCACACCCAACATAAACAATTTACACTTCCCAAATGTCCCAATGACACATGTTCTTATGGTCCATATCTAGATGGGACGGAGTGGACGTCAGAGTATGACATGATGCTAACAAAAGGTAAAACTCATTTCGTCTTTCCAAAAGTGAGTCCTTGAGACTCAGACATATGGTAGAAATGTAGAATGTAAACTGTGAGAATCACTTAGTGTTCCATATATCAAGATGATATGGACAGAAGTATTATTATTATTATTATTATTATCTTATTTTTATTAGTTTTCCGGTTTTCATATTAGTATCGGTATTGCATTTTAGTTAATATTCCTAAAATAAGTATTGTGACAGGTTTATATTACTAGGTCTCCGAAACTCCTGGGACTAATAAAAATGGTGGTGCTCTATTCATTAATAATATCACCGATATTTTGGAGTAACGATTCTTCTTGTGCGCTTGGTGGAACCAACACCACTTCCTTGCTTAGGGCGGGAGGCTAACTTATTTTTCCAACAACATAGTTTTTGAATCTTCTTCCTTTCATCTCCCAACCACGCTGTAGCAACTTGGCATCAGAGCCATTTGACCATTTCCTTCCTGCCTCCATCTTTTCCCCTACTTTTTCTATAGTTAATTATTACTTTCTTTTCTGACTAGATTCTCGGGGGGGGGGGGGGGGGGGGGGGGGGATCCAGAGATGCGGAACCTTATACTTCTGCCGGACAATCCGAGCCGCAAGCAAGCAGTTCAGTGCCAACCAAGAGCGCAACAGTAGAAACACACTTTCTATACCTTGATATTCAGAAACTATTTCAAGTATGGAATCTAACGTTTCAGACGACTTGTTGTTAACCTTCTAGCAGGACTGCATTTTAATGGATCTGGTCAGCTACTGGGGCTTTGGCCCTTCACTCACATTTGTGTGCCCACAAACCACATGGTGACTATTGATTTTACAGAGATGCCATTTGATCGTGGAAAAGATTGGCATAATGGGTTACTCCCTTCAAGCATGAGGATAAGCTTGATGTTCAAGAGGGGAGTAATAATATAGACGGAAGAAGCCTATTGTTATTATTTTTATTATTATTATCAGTATTGTTACTTTTATTAGTTTCATATTAGTACAGGTGTTCTATTTTAGTTACTATTTTTAAATAGAAGTGTTGTAATATGTTTAGGGTTACTCTAATACTGGGCCTCAAACACTCTTGGGAGTTGGGACTAGTATAAATAGAGGCACTCTATTCATTAATTTTTTTGATACGTCGGAAAGGACTCTATTCATTTAATTAAATCATCAAACTTTTGAAGGAATAATTCTTCTTGTGCGCTCGGTGCCACCGAAGGACACTTCCTTGCTCAGGGCTGGAAGCTGAGATATTTTTCCAGCCACATAGCTTTTCAATCTTATCCTTTTAGATCCATATCACAAGATTATATCAAAGAGAAGCCGTCATTATAAGTCTTAAGACTTTCAACCAAACCTGCAAGGTGCGAAAGCATTGTCTCTACCTCTCCCCAATTATGAGCACCTTTAGTACTATGCACAACATCATCTAATTCAAGGAATCTTCTAATGCATTGCTGTGAAGAACTCAAAGCCATGAGTTCTGAATACTGAGAGACAGTTAGAAGCCTCACATTTGAGAGTTGAGACAACAATACACCACATAGACGACACTTCCAAATTCATACTTCTAAACTGTAAAATCTTCGAATACAGTGAAAATAAGAACGATCAAGTAAAATTTACAGACAAGTCTTTGATAATATTAACTAAATTACATGGAATTCAATATAATCAAGATGTTTCTCTGTGTCAAGTCAAACCAAGAGCTGATGAGTTACTTAAAAACTTACCAACGTGAGAAGGAAGGACTGTAATATGAGGATGTGAGTGGTACCAGCCAATCACCCTTGTTGTTTTTCCTGTTTCCACAGTCATTCTGTGCTACAGAGTTAATTAAACAGAGGGACAGGAAAATTGGTGCCACCAATCACAAAATGCATATTCCTCATGTGGACGACATCACATTGGTAGTTAGAGTGATGAACCATCGGCTCAATATTTCTCTATATTTAGTGAAACTTACCGAATTCATTATGTTCCATGATGAGCATGTTGATTTTACAATATTAATTTAGCAAAGACACATGAGTCACATGACTAGCAACAATGATAGTTTCCATGTAAGTGAAAAGGATGGCGATGATATTTTGAAATGTTATTTCATTATTGTTTAGATTGCAACAGAAAAAGCCACCTGGCATAAAACTTTGCCACAATGCTTTGTGCATGAATTTATAGTATTAGGCTATTAGCTAATTTTGTACAATTTATTGAGACTATAAATTCCATGCCAACCATCCCATTGTAAATGGGATTTAATTGTTGATGATGTGCGGCCTAAACACCAAATATGATTATATAAGCGACACAAGTCATAGAAAAGAAGTCAACCAGTAGGGGGTGTGCCCTTACAATGACACCACTGTACAACAACAAAAATCCATTTTAGGATTGGTGAACTCAAGAAATTTTCAGCATGTGTGCATACAACAGGAAGGATATCTCAGCTTGTACAGATGCAGCAGTCAACTGCTCAGGGTTAGTCTCTACCCGGTCCTTCCGGCGATCAGAACGTGGTTGTGGCAATGCTCCCCATATAAGTGCCGTCACACTCCCACTATTTGATTGCTGATAAAAGTAGTGGTAGTAATGTTAGATGCATGCATCATAAACATTAAGGTTTACAGTGCTGCAGCTGTAAATTCATAATAATCAGGGGCGTAGGTAGGGGGTCTGTTGGATCCGTGCCAACCCCAAGTTCAGCAAACCCCTTGTACTTAATATGTAGAAATTGTGTATTTTTTTAAAGAAATTCTTTTATCCAGCCATCCAAGAAATTGCCCTGGCTACACCATTGGTAATAATCGACCAATCGTCCTAAAGCCATAATCATGTAACATCAGGCACCATGTAAACATAAAATCTAGTTTGCGCTGGGCATGCAATAAGCCAACTAGTCAAATGCAACCTAGTTCATTTAGGCGATACATGGCAAATATTACATTTGACTACTTCCACAATCTTTATAAGGTATGTCTTTGCATTCACATAAAAGATTTTTACTTTTTAAGTTTTAACTAGCTTGACAAGAAAATTCTTTAGGTGCTTAAACATTTACATCTGTGTAGAAAACAAAGTCATAACATTCACATAAACATTTGTGTAGAAACGCAGACCCCTCCCCAGATGTGGGGATTGAAAAGACAGATCACTAACAAATATGCTACAAATTCATCTCCACTCACACAAAGGGGTATCAATAGGCATTTAAAAACCTTCAATTAATCTCAGGTCACTACGAACTAAAGTTTTCACTGCGCGGGCATAAATAATTGTTTAAAAAGTTCAGAGTTTCGGTCCTTCGGGATACTAAACACCTTAAAACAGCAACAGTTTTGGTACAGGAGAAAATGGGGAACCTGAATGTCTCCGAGAAGAAGACCCATGATTTCTTCGGTCTCTGTGGACAATGCATGGGTAAGGCAAGTCAGCCACACTTCCTCCGTCATCTTCACACTCGTCAGAGACATCCCTCTGTCTCTCCCACTTCTCTCTGTTTCTCTTTATCTCTCTCGTTCTCTGTCTTCAATAATGTACAGGCAAGTCGCGAGTGGTTTCTTGATTTCTGCTCCTCTGCGTATGCTGGGAATGGCTTCCACGATGGAGGGAAGAAGCCTGAGAGCGATGACGGGTAGGGAACGGTAGAGCTCCGAAATGAAATGGATCTTGGGCACACCCCCAATCTGCCACAGTCGATTCTTATTTTTTATACAATCCGTACTCCGGTCTTTGAGTCGAGCCTGCTTTACTCGGAGACTGAGCTTGGATTGTTTTTACCTATCCGAACTCAAGCCTGCAGTCAATCAAAGTACACAAATTAACCATCGAAATTTACCATTTATTTTACTTTATTATTATGTCTCCTTCCTTTTCTCTCTTTCTCCTCTCCCCTCTTACATAGTTTTTCTTTCTTCCATCATCGTCTCTCTATTCAACACCTTTCATCTCTAACATTTTCATCTTATTCATCTCTTTCTTCATTATCTTCTATCTTCATCACGGGGGAGTCAAGAGGGTCAGGCTGGGATGCTTATCCTCCGAAAGTTTGAGATTATAGAGATCTGAAATACGATCCATCATTTTCGACCCTCTTGAGTCGTTTTTCTGGCTCCGTCACTGATCTTCACCTTGTCATATTGTGTCATCCTCTACCTCACCTACATCATTATCCTCGGAGTTGTAGTCAGTGAAAGTGATATAATTTTTGTCTGTATAAAAAACGAAATTGAAAAACTAATAACACTTTGTAAAAATTCGCCATAGAAAAAACTTATGTTTACGAACACTAGTTTTATATCAATGTTTGTGTACACATACAAAAATATTATAGAGAAGTCGAGGTTAGGTGCCACGAAAATTAATGTTTGTACACACAAACAAAAAAGTGTATTAGTATATAAAATTTTGTTTGTACAAACAACTAATATCAAAGTTGTCTGCTTACATAAACAAAAATTACACACAGACAACTAGTGTAGGTGTGTACACATGCATTGGTTTGCGTGTAAACCACATTGATTAGTGTACTTTTTACATAAATGTCAAGGTGGTTGTACGGAAACCAATGTCCGTATACGTAGACATTAGTTGTCATTAATAGGGTTACATTAATGTTGTAAATTTTTATCCTACACTCATAAGTATGGGGGTTAGAAGCTAAATAACTCTAACACTCGATAAATGAGTTAAAATGTTTTTAATTTGACTGCGATTTTCTTATTGGGTTTGTTTTTATCTAAGCTTGTTTGATGGATTTAAGTATGATATAACTTAATGTGATAGATATTTGTTATGTGTGTATTCTACAATTGCTGGAAGTTGGGTCTGATCTAACATATTTATGTCTAATCTAGTTTGAGATTGAAACTAGTCTAATTGAAAATACCATTACACACAAATATTCACAAGAGAAGTTATAACAATGTATTTATGTTATTACATACTAAATGTGTTTGCGATTACATCTACAGATCTACTTAGTGAATAGTTATAGATTTTTTTTAAACAAACACCAAAACATATTCTATATTATCATCAACACAATTCCAAAGTCATCGGTGTTTCATTTTCAGAAGTGCTGAATGACACTGCGTTTTGTCGTTGGTTTCAAAATAAATAAGAGGGAGAAATATAAAACAAATAAAAGAAGTTGGGAGAATGCTTCCCCTATTCCAAATAATATCGGACCAGACAAATTTTTGATAATTGTAAGATATACATAGACCAAATATTTACTATATAAAATCAATTGAGACTAAGGCTATGTTTCACACAATGAGCTGGAGTTGGAGGCTAATGTCTAAATTAGGGGTTGTTGTCAGAATAAAATAATATTGTCTAGAGAGCTGAACTTTGAAGTGATGGATCTGAATCGCTAGCTGAATGTAGTAAATCTATTTGACAAAAAGAGCTGAAAAAATGACAGGATAATTTGAAATTGCATTAAAAGCCATATGATTTATTAAAAAAAAATATTTATTATAATAATGATTTTTATATTTTGAGTCTACCTTTTAAAAATTTAGTGCACACCTCGTACGTTTATATATGTATGTGTGTGTAACACCGTCCCCAAATGTATTTATCTTTAAGCGAATAATTTATTGAACCCTATGAAATTTTTAGTGAATTTACGAGGTTGTGAATTGGTATTAATTTTTTTTCGCGTGAATAGTAAAATGCACGTGGGGCCCACATCGGGAGTGGGGACCGCCCGATATTATCGGGACCACATATTATATTCATCTGGGTCTAGAAAATATTTATAGGATGGTGGATACTTCATTTGGGCCATGGAAAGGCCCAGAGTTGACCGATTGGTCAATAGAGGCCCAAATACCGGTATCGATAAATTTATCAGATAAAAGCCCGAAATTGGATTTTGGAGACTTATAAATTAAAGTTGGGGAATGCATATTCATTCTAAATGTTATAATGATTAAGAACACGTAATATATTTATTTAACCCTGATGGAGTATATGGCCCGGGAACCCCCGGCCCACAGACTCCTACTACTCCAGCGAAGGCCCAACAGGCCCAGAAGGCCCAACAGGCCCAGATCACAGCGCCCAGAGTACCAAGCAGCCCGCACTACGCGCCAGGGGTGCCTTCGGCCCCCTGGCCGAAGGCTCTAAACTCTCACAGGACGGGCTTCGCAAGCAAATTAAGAATCTGGGAGAAAACGGCGAAAACAGTAGCCCTCGGCACTGTGAGCCCTCGGCACCAGAGTGCCATCGGTTGGAGGAGCCCTCGGCCATTGCTCTATAGCCGAAGGCATCTCACTCGACAAAATATCCGCCTCACATGCGTGCAGATCACCGTACCCTGCACAGACGTCCCATCCAACAGCCGCATTAAATGCGGCCACATGCGGCTGCCAGCGCCAACCAGTTGAGGTGACCCCTCGGCCAATGAGCGCTTGACACGTGTCCCTGTCCGGCATTTATTGCTACTATAAATAGCACCCCATTTCCTCATTTGTAACCACGCTGAAAACGGCATTCATACTGAATATACTCTCTCTCTACATTTACTTACTTGCTCTGACTTCTCTCTAAGTTATTCCCCGTAATAACCCTTCGGATATATACCCCCGGGTAGACTATCCATCATTTGGTGCTCTCGTTGAGAGGTCGAACAATCAAGTAAGAAACCCTCCCCCTCGACCAAACACAAAGCACTAGCCCTCTATCAAAATGGTGAGGACAACACATGCCAACTCAAAGAACGTAGAAGACAAGAACCTGGCCCTCGGCGACGTCAACGCCCCCGAAGCCTCTCACAGGGCTCCCGAGGGCGGTGCCATCGCTGGGCTGGAACAGGCGGCTGTCGACCTACGCCTTCAGATCCAACAAAATGCCCCCGATGCCCGCGTCGGCATCGACGCCAAGAAGAAAAACCGGAGCGATGACCAAGTCAGCCCTCCGGTTCTCACCATCGACGTGGAATCGGCGCTCTCTGCCTTCATCCAGACGCTCACCCAGAACCCGGGTGCCTTCGGCACCCTGGCTCCAGCTCACCCTCAGATCGGGGAAAATATCATACTTCCCCCTCTGCCACACCCCTTCGGAAATCCCACCCCTCGGGTGAGGAACGACGAGGGGGTGGTGGCCCAAGATACGTCCTCCCAGGAAGTTCAGTCCCGGGACCGCCATAATGACAACAGGGAAAGGCCCCGTACTTCCGCCCTCAACCGGCTCGGAGGAGGGCCAGACCGCCGAGGGGTCCAAGACCGCCTCGGGGGGAAAGCACTCCAAAGGCCCCAGGAAAGCGGGGGATCTGTTTCGAGGGCAGACGAGGAGCGTCCCCCTCGGGACAAAGGCAAGGCACCCTTTCATGCCGATGATGCTCGGCACCAAATCAACCAGGCCCACTCGGCCCGGGTTCGTTCGCAGGGGGCGGAGACCCTCCCGAAGGATCCCCGGGATGAGATTATTGCGGCCCTCCAACACCGGCTTGACGAGATGGAGTCCAACAAAGCTCGCGCCACCACCTCCACCCCTCGTTCAGATCTCAAATACGAGGCCATGATGGCCAAAATGGAGGTGTTACAGAAGAATGTGGCCGAGGGCTCCGGGGAACCCGTCATCCAGCTCCGGACTCGGACGCCATTTACCCCAAGGGTATTGGCGGCCCGGATCCCGGAAAAATACCGAGGGCAACATATACAGCCCTACAACGGAAAAACGGACCCCCAGGAACATTACAGCAAGTACCAGAACAGCATGATGATGGTAGGGGCGTCAGACGAATATTTGTGTCGTTGGTTCCTCTCCACCTTAGAGGGGCCGGCATACGAATGGTTCAACAGGCTACCCGAGGGCTGTATTGATTCCTGGCAAGAACTCGCCCTGCGATTCTTGACACAATTTGTCGGGAGGCGTCGCACAAGGAAGCACTTCTCCCACCTCCTAACCATACGCCAGAAGAGGGATGAGACCCTTCGAGACTTCCTAGAGCGCTGGAGGACGGAGGCCGACAAGGTCGACGGTGCTGATGACGGGACCCTCCTGGCCCTCCTACAAACCGTCCTCCGCACCGGCAACTTTTCAAGGAGCCTCATCATTGAACCCCCCCGCGACTACATAAGGGCTTTGCAGCGGGGGGGACCGATATGCTGAGGCCAAGGAGGTGGAGAAGTATCACCAGCATCCGGACCAGCAGCCCCCGAGGGCTGACAACAAGCATAACCGAGGGCCGGGGGCTCCTCCAAATCGCCCCAAGGCTTCGGGACCCTCCGATGACCGCCCTCGGCAAGGCCAAGCCAAGCCCGGGGGAGGATATAAGAGCAACCCCAAGACTTGGGCACAGCCCATTCTCCTGGACCACCCTCGGACACCATTGACGCACCCCGTCAGCATCATCCTCGATTTTGCCGAGGAGAGGGGCCTCGTTGAGCGTGATTCTCGCGCACCCCCGGAGGTACACGCTATCAACCCTCAGTTCCCCTACTGTCGCTTCCATCGGCACCAGGGGCACAGGACCGATGACTGCCATCAGCTGAAGACGGCCATCGAGAGATTAATACAGGCGGGGCACCTGTCCCAATTTGTCCAGAGCCCTCGGCAGGAGGGACCTTCTCATCAGGGACCTCCCCGAGGGCACCATACGAAGGTAAATGCCTGGGTAAATCCGAACACCATCCCCCTCGGCAAGAAGAGGGAGATCGGGAACTTGGAAGAAGAGGAGGAGGAGTACCCCCACTACCAGGAGAAGAAACGCCACATCCTCATGATCACCGGTGGCAATACAGGGGGCGATTCCACCAGCCAGCGAAAGAAGTGGGCTCAATCGCTTTACGTAGGGGAAGTCACTCATATGCCCCCGGTAAAGCGACTGAGGGAGGAACCCATCACCTTCACCAACGCAGATCTCCCCCCCACTTCTTCTCCTCACAGGGATGCCTTGGTGATTCGGACGGAGATAAACGACACCATCATTCACCGAACTTACGTTGACACGGGCAACTCCGTCAATGTAATGTACCTCAACACCTTCAGAGAGCTGCATCTGGAGAGGGGGTCCCTTCGGCCCATTAAGACCCCTC